GCCATACTGCCTTGAAAGAGATTTTCTGGCTGAAGTTGTTGAGATTAATAACAGTCCAAAATTTGATGCTAGTGAGATTAATTAAGTAGTAGAATTATTTTTCTTTTATATTAGTTGATCAATGCTTGCTACGGCTAAAACCACAAAATCTAAATTCAATAACTAAGACACAATGTTAGAACTTAAATCTCTTTTATGAAATACAAATAAGAACTTTATCAACTAATTTGAGAATGGGATCACTGAAAGTCGATGTAGATAATTCATGGTCTTCACAAGAGTTCTGGAGCCATCATAGTTCCAATTCGGTTAGCAGGATCATTGATTGGCCCAAAAAGAGTCTATTTCACCAGAACATTAATTAATCACAACTTTAAATGATATAAAACTTCACTTTCAGTGGCCCCAAATCTCTAAACTAACAACTTTAAACCCAGAAACAGATTGATAAAAAGTGAAAAGTGCAGTTTCAATTCGGAATTAGAAACACTCACAGGCTCAGAATAGAGCTCCAAAAAGGGGCCGATTGCTCCTTCGCCTAAGAGAAGCCGTCGCAGCCTTGCTTGATGTCAGACTCTCCATATAAACAAGAATCAACCGCCCTATCCTAACCAAAACAAAAATCAATAGCCAAAACCAAAAATACAAACTCAAATAAATCCAATTCAACAATAATAGAACTGGGTTGTTTTCAAAATGATACCAAATCCAACAGACCCATACAAATAAGACGGCTCAAATAATCAACTAAGCCAATACTCCACAAAACTATATGAGACCGTGGTTCAGAGAATCCCAAAATCTACTTGAAATCCCGCACAAATGTTTACAGTAAAGAGAATCTGCAACTGAAAACTTTGACATAATTTATGTAGAAAGAGATAGGCTCACCTGAAACTTTTGATATTCGAGGCTGCGTATCGAGAAATTACTTGGTAAAACCCAGAAAGATACTGAATGGAGACACAGTAGGTGGTGAAAACGGCACGATAAAAGGAGCTTGACGACGATGATGGTTGTTGTTTATCGGCAGAGTAAGAAGAAATTTTCATCCGAGTCGGAATCCCCTCTTGGCCTTAGATTTTTTCCAACTACAAAGTGGAGGAATTAAAGTTGATGTTGTCAAAATCAAATTAAACAAAATAAAAATAAAAGGAACAGAAAAAAGGCTAAACAAACAGAACGTAAGAACTAAAGTCGATATAACTGAATCAAGAGAGCCGAAACAGGACAGATCAGGAGAGATCGTTTTGACAACATCAGAACGACAGCGGAGATGGTTCTGATCGGCGGAGGTGATTGTGTTTGATAGAGAGCGGAGGAGATCAGGAGAGACTTGAGCCAAGATGTGGTTTGTCGGGCGGAGGGGAGGTGTTGATTTGAGGAAGGAAGAAATGATTTGTGGGTTTTTATCTTTACGGTTCTTCAGATTTTCTAGATACACTTTGGGGAGGACGAAGACAACGCCGTGGTTTTTTTTTTCCGGGGGCTGGTCCCTTTTAAACGTCGTCGTTTTGAATGCGGGGGGTTATGGGCAAAATTTTATTTTTGGAGAGAGTCCCTTCAAAACCACGTCGTTTTGAAGGGTGGGGATAATGGTAAAATTTTGTTTTTTTTTTGAGTTTTATATATTTAGTGAATTACACTTTCGCCCCCAATTAAAAATATGATATAAATGTGATGTAAGACTGACGTCACGTGACAATTGCCCGACCAATCAGATTGCGAGAAACTAATTGGCCAAGCAAAAAAAAAAAAAGGAAGAATATGATATAAATGTGATGTAAGACTGACGTCACTTGACAATTGCCCGACCAATCAGATTGCGAGAAACTAATTGGCCAAGCAAAAAAAAAAGGAAGGTGAAATTATCAAAAGATTAGAAAAGTTCGAAACAGGTTTATCTTACAAAATTAACCAAAAGTTCAGACATAAAAAAGACAACAAATACAAGTTTCAACTTTGGTCTCGAACATTGGACATACAACACAGAATAAACCAAACTATGAGTGGAAAGGACACATACAACGATTACATAAAACAATGCTACTTAATAAAGAAGGAACCATTCAGATACAACATACATCAATAGAACAAAACAAGTTCTTTCGTTTTACTTCTTTCTGTTATTCTACACATGGAAAACCTAAACACCAAAGTTCCAATTTCAAACTGTTCATGCCAAGTGCCGAAGATGTCAGTCTAGGACCTAACATTTTGATCGTGAAGAATTTGATTCCTTTCGAAATCAAGAGAACTAATTCAGAGGATTTAAACCAAAGAAAGTGATGAGTGTTACCCATTCATATCATACAACTTCCTTTCTTCTTCTTGCAATTCTTTATCCTTCTACAGTTGTTTCATTGATACATAGTCCAAGAAGTTTTATGATCAAACCAGAAATCAACAATTCAAAATTTATACCCTTTGGCAGTGTTACCAGGAAGTGCTGCTATACAAACACTCTCACAAAAGTATACACCTAACAGAATTTATCTCTAAGAAGCTAAACAAACAATAATGAATGGTTCAGGGAAATCCCTAATACACAAACCACAAACCAGAAATTTTCTTTTCGGAAAAAAAAGAAGAAGCAAACACAGCAGTAAACATAGACATTCACAAAGACTGGAACCGAATACCTATTTCGCAAGTCCTTCCTCCAGCTTATACAGTTACTCAACAGACCACTCAACGCGAGCCCAGCTTCATGTTTATGTCCTGGCACTGTGTCGAGAAGAAGAGTCCCCAAGGAGCTTCCCTGCTGAAGAGGAATCCCCGAATTACTACTATTGCTACTACTTACAATACATGTCGGAGTTCCAGAAAACACAATTCCTCCGGCTGCGTTATTTACATTCATATTTACTCCTCCACCGCCTTGCCCGCCGTAATAATAATTCCCAACAAAATCCAAACCCATGCTCGCTGTCTGAAATGACATAGTTTGAGGCCGGTGATTGTGAGGGTGATGGTGATGGTGGAAGTTCACTCCGGTATTGTACTCCGTCGCCATTAGAATCCCCCAAAAATTCCTCCAACGAAAGATAAAAAAAAATTTAAAAAAAAAAGAGAGAGATTTCAAAATCTTACATCACGGAAGCGCTCTCGAGACTCCTCATTGTTTTTTTCGAATTGAATTCAAAAATCAAGATCAATCTGAGCAATTTTATCTGAACAATTGGAAAATTTGAATCAATCCCGTTTGGGTAAATAAAAACCCTAAATTTGCTGACCTGAAAATAATAGTAACACTACCAGCGAATCAGTTATGGGTTAAACAAACAAAAGGAAAAAAAATAAAAATAAAGGAAAAAAGGCAAAAAGGATAGAGAGATAGACAAGTAATAATACTCTTATTAGTTAGTGCATAAAATAAGTTGAAAGGATTTTAGTGAAAGTGAAATCCTCGGATCCATCCATTTACCGCTTTATTGGGAAATATATACTATAGTATTTTTTTAATACTAACTCTCATAATTAATAAATACGGTTTTTATAAGAAATCCCAACATACACTATTAGTGTATAAAGGACGAAATCAATTTGTTAAAGACAATATTACCCTTCATTAAAAAAGTGATGCAAAATAGGAAAGGAAAAGAAATTTGTCGTTGCTCCTTTTATTCCCCAACAAAATCAAAATGGGGAAAAACATAACAACTCCCCAAAACGACGTCGTTTTGGGGAGTGGGAGGGTTTTTTTTCCAAAAAATTTAAAAGACAAAAATGAATTATTTAATTAAGTACAACTTTGTCTCCAATTAATAAGGTGACGCACGTGACGACTGTCCGACCAATCAAATTGCAAGAAATTTGTTGCCAAGCGTGGCTTTTATATTAGTTTATTATAGATAAACTGGATAATTACAATGTATAGTTTGCGGGGAGATCAATAATCCTTCATTCCTTTGTATTTTTTGTTTTTTTTTCCGGGTATAATGAAGAAAACATAACTTTTTTTTTTTCTAAACAACAACAATTCCAACTTTAATTTCCAAACCTTTAAAAAAAGTCAATCTAGGGCGTTACTAGTAGGTTAGAACCTTATTTTGTATTTCCTAGATAAGTTTAAGTTCTAAACAACAACAATCCCAACTTTAATTTCCAAACCATGCAGTCCTAGATAAGTTTGTACGAGGCCAAAAAAAAAAAAAAAAGAACAAAACAAAACAAAACACAAAAAATGAAAATATTAAAGTTGAATTCACCCCCCCACACACACACACACACACACACTCGTGTATCTTTTCCAACATTTTCAAAATGTGGTTTCATGTTTTGATAAAATACTAGCTATTTATCGAAAAACATTTCGAAGAAATGGATGCCATTCGTCTTAGGAAACAAAATAAATCCAGAAAAAAAAAATGACAGCTCAGAAAATAATAACAACAAAAGGAATACAACATTAGGATTTTTGTGGTTCGGTAAAAGTAATTTGCGTCCCCTAATTTAGCAAAAACTAAACCGAATGTACTGTAATTAACAAAAGTATAAAAGGTGTACAGAAATTGCGAAAGTAACGCCCAAAACAGCATATTGCAAACCCCGATTGACAATTAAAAATCCTGAATAAAACAAAGAAGATAGAGTAGTTTTGAATTGAATTCGCATCACAAATCCTTCGAATTACTAGTGCCCAAATTCATGAAGCATCAAGCATGACTCTCATAAGTGGCGAGCTCCGCAGGGATAGCTAGGCAGATCGTCGCAATCTAGTTAATTTCCGGAAGTTGGTTTTTCACAGGCCTGATGCTTTGCTTCTTCTATGGGCAAAAAGACTTCTGAAACAAGACAAAATTTACACTGTTTATGCATATGCAATTTGAAATTTCCTACACCAATAATTATGCCCTCTATAATTTAACAAGCTGGCAAATGTTGGTGAAGACAAGACAAGCATGTTGGCAAATTTAATTTAGTGGCCTATAGCATTCAATATGGTGAAGACCATTATTTTTTCTTCAACAATCCCTTTTCAGGAGGAAAAAAAACCAAATTGATACTCCTTTTCCCACACAAAAATAGTCTTATAATGTAAAATTTAAGTTCTAAATAAAAGGTACAATTAGTAATTTATAACGTGAATTTTTATTTTATTTTCTTAGGACGGAGCTAGTACATGTCAGTACCCTAAAGGGAAGAGTGAATGTTTTGATTTATTTTCACCAGTTTAGCTCTAACCTCAATCCAAGAAATCACAATCTCAAAAGCAAGTTCTACACTTTGATTTGGTTCCCCTATTAATTGATGCCACATCCCGGGGAGAATATTCATAGATTTATCCCTACTGGAAGCTAATCGGAAAACAAATTTAGTAGCTTCAGGATCACAGATTCTATCCTCTTCTCCATGCAAAATCAGCAATGGCACCTCCAATTCCTTGCAACTTCTTTCAATAAAACTACATGCTTTCATGAACTCTCGTAGAGTAATTGCTGGGAGTGGAATCATTGCATTCGAGGGACGATTAGGGCTTTTTCCGGCCATCTTCTTCTTCCATCCTTCTTTGATCGACCCTGTTGCAAGAAGTTTCGTGCTGCTTACCTTAAATGATGGTGCGATGTTTGAAGCCAAAGGTAAGATAAATTTCTCAAGTGGCCACACTGGAAGCATATATCTCGAAACACCGCACATTGGACCGCTTAAAATCAGTCCATTCCATGCTTTTTTCTGCCTTAAGCTAATGAAGACAGAAATCGCGCCTCCGACTGATTCACCATAAAGAAAAGCTGGCAGTTTCGGATGCTCTTTTCGAACAGAATCGAAGAATTGGATTGAATCAGAGACCAATGATAGGAAATCCGGGATGATCCCGGGTGAGCCTTCCGAGTAACCATGGCCTTGAAGGTCAAGAGCACAAACAAAGTAGCCTGATTTTGCTATGGCCACAGCGTTTAGCTCAAACAGCCAGCTGCTTTCTGAGCAATATCCATGGATCATTGCCACCATCCCTTTCAGTCTTGAAGTCGAATAATCTGCAGGCTGCCATGACTGAGTAAAAATCTTCATGTTTTTGTTGTTGAACATGAAGCTCTCTTTGTGAAGCATTTGATGCTTCTTGTGGAATTCTTCTCTTGTGAGGTCTCCGTAAGGGCTGTTTTTGTTTGCTTCATGAATTGGATGGGAAAAAGCCATTATTAATGAAGTTGCAGTGTTTATTGGCACTTTAATTGATATAATTAGGAAGTATTAATCTAGTGGATTATTTATAATAGGTGCCCAAAATAATGATGGACTGAGTTTCTCTTAACTTGCTGGCCTAGGCACAAAGGCCATTCTCTATGCTTCATAGTCTAGATAGTAGCCGTAAAATGGTCAAATTCTTCTATACACGTGTAATGTTTAATTATTTTTGAGTCGGAAGATGGATCAAAGATAAATGTTTATGTAATGATCATATGCATCACCATTGGTCCCATGAAAATGGTTTTCGAACGGGTACCAAATCATGTTTCGATAGCAAAATGTGATTCGAGTATTTGAAGAAGGAATAGACAAACATGATACTCCCTCCATCCAAAAGAAGAAAAAAAAAATCAATTTTGTTGAACCAAATATATTTGGAATTTTTTTTTTGGTGCACACTACATATTTGAATGCCTATTTTGGGAGATTATAAAGAACATGACTATTTTCTTCTTTTTTTTTTTTTTGTTGTATTTGTAGATCTACGGCTATTCCGAGTCTAGTTTTTTTTCAACCTGACATGATTTTTGATTTCCGCATGGGTGCTTTAACCGCACCATTTATAATAAAATTTGCTCAAAGGTGAACCGGAATCATGTTGTAAGTTAACCAATAGTAAATGTGTTTAAGTCATCAGTTGCTTTGTTTATTACCTATATCTTTACATTAAGCTCAAACATATCTATCATGTTCATTCTTCCTGGGTTTCGTTACTTGTTCCTTATTCCAACTCTTTTACGTAATAGGAGTTCATTGGTGTAGGGAGTCGGTCAATCTTTCTCCTTAACATTTTTTCCCCCACTGTGCGCCAAAGAGTTAGTTGTATTGGATGTTGTCGCTAATTATTTTTATGAACTGGGATGAAACGTGGTACTTAACTTAAAATACAAAAGTTGGCACACATTTCTATTTCTTGACAGAATTGATTGATAATTACTTAATTAGGAGAGCTGAACTGCTGATCATATTTGTGGAACTACTTTCCAAAAGCCTTAAAGGCAAAATGTAGGTAATCAAAAAAAAAAAAAAAAAAAAAACCCCAATTTTCTTTTACAAGTAAATTTTTTTAAAAAATCGTTTTCTATCAAAAAAATAGATGGATTTAGGGCATGTATCGAAATAGTTTACATGACATTTTAATACAACAAGTATCGAAATTTGTTCAGATTAGATTTTCCTACTGCACTGTTTTAGGGAATTAGAGAGTGCCGTAAAAGCCAATGAAATCGGAAATGACCGATCTCGTCTCCAAACAAGCTTCACATGATTACGATGTGGCCTCCTCTCTCATCTCATTAATAATGTCGTTGTTAACAAATTCTTCTTTAAGCGGCTAAACGAATTGAATAAGATAAAAGATTTTGTTAGTTGGTCAGGGTCCTTCATCTTGATATTGGCCCAAAAAGTTTAATTTTTGGTCTCTTCTGATGTTACTCCTCTGTCTCATGATAATTGTAATGTTTAAATTTTTTACTTATAACATATTTTATAGTAAAAACAAAATCAAATTGAATATTATTTTGGAAACAAATGGAGTATTATTTATCACTAATTACTTATGCTACCTGAATACTGAATACAATTTCGGGAAAGCTGATGTGAGTTGTATCAACCAACATGTATATGTATGATGGATTGCATTATTAATAGAGGATAATGTAGTGATAATGTAATTTTTCTTTCACCTAGATAGATGAGTGACTTGGATGGAGTAATGATTAGTCTGAACATGATATGTATTTACTAATAATTATAGTATGGTTCTTGTATTATAAATAGCATTATACTGTATATGTTCTTGGTTTTGTTCACGTACTTCTTCTCTTTCTTGGCAAAAGTTATGGGAAGAATCAGCAAAATATCAACCAAAATATCTCGCCACCTAATTGATTAAAAGCATAGGTAAGGTAAGGCAAAGTAAGATACATGTGGCGCATTGGCTACAAAGGCCCCGATTTATGAATGTAAGAAGGACAAAGCCTTAATTGAGTTGTTGAATGTGACTTTAATAAGAACCAACACACCTGAGTAAATCAAAAGCATTCTTGAGTTATTGATTTTTGCATCATCGAAAATCAAAAGCATCTACAATTTTGTCAATCACATATTCAGATTATTATCTTGACAGACAGTACTTGAGACATGTACATTCACACAACAGAAATATAATGGAACATTTTATTAATCAGATCACATTGATGTGAACTCCTGCAATCAACTTGATGTAATGAAGCTCAACATAGCTGCAATTGGGATCCTTGCTGAGTATTTCTGTGAACTCCATGTTATAGATCCTTGCGAAACTATAACATCAAGCGGGAATTTCACTAGCTCAAATGTAACTTCATAAGTCAACTTCTGATTCACCTTCGAGAAACTGAGTTTCTGTGGTTTGATTGTGACCTTAATCCCAGGTGGTTGAACAACCTTCACAGTGTAAACTGAATTAGCCTCACCGACATTTGTGACTGTCCTCGTGTACTTCTGAACTTCTGATCCGAATTCAATTGAGAACGACGGATAATTCAGTTGTGCTTCCGGTATGCTCGCTTTGCAAGTTTGCTTGCGTTGTAAGAACCTGCCAAGTTGTCTATCTGTGTAATTCAGACCACACAGATAAGAGATGTAATCTTTCGGGGCGATATCATATATCAGCCCTGGATGATTTGCTCTGGTTGGATTGACATGGCCTGAGCCGATGGCGAAAATGTCAGCTCGAAGTTGCTTTTCGTTCTCAATTGGATTCTTTCCAAGGTTCACCAGATCAGCTGTAGTCATAATTGCTGATTTAATCGCAGCAGGAGACCAATCGGGATGCGCGCTTTTGATCAATGCAGCAACACCACTGAGGTGAGGGCAGGACATTGATGTGCCAGAGATTGCATTGAAGTTGGATTTTGTGTTTGTTCGGTTTTCGATTGAAAGATGCCAAGCTGCAAGAATGTTTACACCAGGGCCAATGATATCAGGCTTCAGGATTCCCCGGCTCGCATAGTTTGGACCCCTGGAAGAAAATGCTGCCACTTGAGGAGCCAGAGGATCTCCAATTATGGTTCCTTTGAATGATATTGCAGCAGTTGGTTTCGTAGTTGATTCCATGTAAGCAATCAATTTAACTCTATCTGCATAAGTTAGATGTGTTGCCGGAAGAACATGAGCATCGGCGTGTGTCGTGAACCCTTGTTCTTCTTTATTGATCAGAATCATTCCGACACCACCAGCAGCCTTGACATTTTGGCCTTTCTGAACTGGTGACCAGGCACCAGTTTCACAGACTACAATTTTGCCTTTTACTTCTGTAAGATTAACCAATTCTTCGCTGCAGTATCGATTGGTGTCGAAATCAGTCTGGTTCAAGCCAGGATAAAACAATGGATGTTGAGTAGGGAGAAAAGTTTTAGGCTGATAAAGGGATTCTCCATCAAGTTCCATCTTGTTCCCAAGCACTGCAGTTGCCCTGATTTTCCGATCAAGCGTGCTTGCGCCAACGGTGAGAATCCATGGAGCTTCATTTGATAAGCTGGAGCTATAAGGACCTTGATTTCCAGCAGAGCAACTCACAAAAATGCCCTTTTCCATTGCACTGAATGCACCAAGTGCAATGTTGTCAGAATGGAAGGCTAATGAACTTCCACCAAGGGAGAGGGATAGAATGTCGACTCCATCATCGATCGCGACATCCATGGCTTTCAGTATATCACTGTCGGAGCAAGCGCTGCTTCTACCGAAACATACTTTGTAGATTGCCAAGTGAGCAAGAGGCGCGATGCCAACGGCCGTGCCATTAGCGTTTCCAAACACATTGGCACCTTTCACAAAGTTCCCTGCGGCCGTCCCTGCCGTATGAGTACCGTGGCCGTTCTCATCCATCGGGGTGCCATTCCCATTGCGGAAATGCCTTGCTCCGATCAGCTTCTTGTTGCATACCGACGTGTTGAATTCGCATTTTCCCTTCCATTTAGCAGGTGGTGGCGGCACGCCTTCATCGCTAAACGAAGGGTGGTCCGGAAAAATTCCAGTGTCCACAACTCCAATGATGACACCTTTACCATAATTGGACTCACTCCAAAATCCTGAGTTTTGAGTCAGCCCCAAGAAATTTGGAGTATGCGTTGTGTGAAGAGACAACATTTTTTCTCGTTGGGCAGATACAAATCCAGGCTTCTTTTCCAAAGATTTGACATCCTCAGGTGATAATTGAGCTGCAAATCCTCTGAAAACATTGTGATAACAATAAACCATCTTTGGAACTTCAGCATTTGAACTTGCAATGGTAGATGGTAGAAAAGAATGGTACCATCTATCAAGATCGTCATTGGAGATTGAAGTACTACTACTTGCAGCAGTAGAAACCTGATCAGTGTGATCAATAAATTGATCAGGTGACTCAACATGAACAATGTACGTCTGCAAATTGGCAGAGATTGTTAATGAGTGGAAACTGGTCAGTAAGCAAACTAGAGTAAGAATGCCCCTGAAAATATCCCCCATTTTTTAACCAAAATAGTGGAAAGATGCAATGATTGGTTATGGAGTTTACGTACTGGTAGCTGGAGGTATATATAGCAGTATTTGCCCTCCATAATAACTCAATATCATCCAGTTAGGCCAAAAATTTAATGCCCAAAGGGCCAGGTCACATTGCTTGACCAGTTGACTTTGACATGGCCTTTGTGTTGTGAGACCGTCAAATTAAAAGCTGCATTCTAGATTCCCTGTGGATATTTCAATCATACAAATGCTCATTCATCCCCTTATTTGCAAATATCTTGGAAAGATCTTACGAAGTTGATGGAATCCATGGTGCAAAGATATTATATCTTTTTTTAAAAAAAAAAATACAGTATTTTAAATGAGCACATATCATTTTAAAAAAAGATTTATTTTATCGTTCAAAAATAAATATCTCAAAGTGATTATTTATTCATACATAAATTCAAACTTGAGACTTGATTAAGAGAGACAAATTCCTTACCACTAATTACGTCTGTCGAATTGTTACTTGACGAAGATGCTGGGGCAAGTAAAGGAGTTGCTGACACTTGGATGATGCTCTCGACACGGCTTCCTCCAGATAGCAGCAGTCGCTTCTTCGACGGTGATAACACTGGGAAAAAATGTTCTGGCAATAATATCAAGGCTCTGGAAATTTTGTATTTGGGGCAAAGGGTTGCGAAGTCAAACAGACTGAGGAGTTCTGGTTTGTCCCAAGCAATGAAAAGGGGAGCCAATCTACCCACGATTCGACGGCTTATCTATTTTCAAGGAGACATAATGATGCAAAGTCGTCGTTTGGGAAACGTAATGGGGTATGTCTGCATTCTTTTAGGCGGGATTCTACGTCGGGTTACTTTTCCAGGTCGGATTCTGACCCTTAAATTATTTCATTAGGCCGGTTCGACGTAACTTGGGCCAAGACTTGTCCATTCCACTTGGGTTGAGTCCATATTAGATTTATTTTGTGTCAAATCTTGTTTATTTCATATAACTAATACTTGTCAGAGGTACTTGACGAGTCCATATCCACTGAAAATTATTGGACCGGCCCATCCGCCGATTATGGTCTAACCGACTTCAAAGAGGCATTTCTTAACATGAAACCTAGTAGGATTCGACATCCGCTAGGTCATTCTATGCCTATAAATAGGGATGAGTACACCACAATTGAGGGATGCTAAAATGGTCCATCCATTTCTATTTTTTTTTTTGTACATCACAAAAAAGTTTTGAATCGCTCAGCCAATTTCCCTTTCCATGCTTATCGACGGATAAGCAAGCATGTTAAATAAAATTATTTGCTAACGATAATGTTATTTATAATTTTTTTCTTTCTTTTTTGACAATTAGTATGCGTGTTTTGAACTCCAACATTTGGTAGTTACCAAAAGACCTCCTTAGCAATTGATTTCAACTAGAAATGAAGTTTGGGGAGTAACTTGAAATTTTTTTAAGAATAAAGGGTGTTGGGGAGTAACTTGATTTTACTATGTACATGAATATTAGTGATTTACTCTATAAGCTATTTACTCTCCTCGGCCTAAAATGATCGTTCAGCATAGTTATCCATGTTTTCTTTCTTGGGGTTCAAGCGCATGTCCGAATCCAAGTGGAAGAAGAACCATTCAATACCAAAAAGCCTCTTCTTCAAATTGTCAAATTGGGCAATTGCAGTTTCCCATCGTCTCATCTAGTCATCCTCACAAGTTGTTTCCTACATAACTTCCTCCAATATCCCAACAACGAGTTCTTACGTACATATAAATTTTGAGGGACCTTTGCACTCGTTTCAATTAATGGGCCGACGCGTTAAAAACTACACCAATGTGGTCACTCTTCAATACAACTTTGGTGTCTCTATCCTTTATTGCTGGAGAATAATAGTTTTGCAAGTGTGTTGGACGAGCATTACTTTGACCTTGAGAGTTTCTTGAATAGGTCTTGAATTTCTTTGGGAGTAATTTGCAAGTAGTGTTGCTTTCTCCATTATGAATTTTATGAGTGAATAGTGAGCTGTTGAGATAAGGCTTGCTCATAAAGAGAGTAATTAACTTTGCAGCTCATAGCAATTGTGTATTGAAGGATTTCTTTCACTGTGTTAGAATAGCTTGCATTTTACATGTTAAGCTCTTTAGAACACGATAAAAGTTGATATGTCACACTCACCCAGTATTGAAACTTTAGTTGCCTCCTTAATCATTAAATCTCTTATATCATCAATTACATAAAATTAAGAAAATCTTTTTTTTTGTCTCAAGATGAAATTGGAAGAAATATGAAGTGATAAACAATTTAAAATGGCAATTACAATTTTACAAAACAAAAGGTACTGCAATATTGTTACTCCTAGTTCGAAAACATCAGGAGATTTGGTTGGCTGATTTTCTTCATATATGAGAAATACCAACCGAAAAGAAAACAAATGACAATCATTGGTTGAAAACCATTGTTTCTCAAGCAACTCCAATTAGGTGATCAGACTGCACAGTTATTCTCAACTGTCAAAGATGAATGGGAATACGAAATCTTGTTTATGACTTTATTAAAGTGCAAAATGCATAAGGATTGGTATTGATTACGGAGGACCTGTGTGGTCGTTTTCTTTTAGTTTCTGTATCCTTTATTACTTGACAAACGATAATTTTGCAACTGTGTTGAACGCTAGCATTGATCATTTGATTAGAGTTTGAGGATTTCTTGGATGGCGCTTGAATTTCATGGGGGATCCTACTTCGTATTCTGCATTCCACTCAGGCATGCTTAACTCCTGTACCTTCTTTTGTTATTTTTTTCTTTTTCTCATTCCAATTTGGTAAATGATTATTATCGAAAACACTCGAAAGTGTATCAATGTGAAGGCATAACAGTTAATTTCCACCCTTTCAAAAAAAAAAAAAAAAGAAGTTCATTTCCAGGGATAAAACAGAGGATTATCAGGCACAAAGAACTGATGCTGCTATAGAGAAAGGATCAGATATTATTTGAACATGTATATTTCGTACTTATATCTTATTAAAATAGTTTCCTTTATGAACTATAAGTAGCTAGACTTCTCACTTTGGTGAAGAGACAATCTTTTTTCAGGACAAAGGTCCCTAATAATAATGCATACTATCTATGAGCTAAGAGATTACTATAGCTCTGTCTCCCTAGTAACGCCGCCAAAAATGGCGGCAATTGGGCTTCTAACAGTGTACTTGGAAGAACTCCAGGTGAGAGATCCTTGAGACGATTTGCTACTCGGAGCTGATGACAACTTGCTAAACGTGATTTCATATGTCAACTTCTGATTGAGTTTTGAAAATTTCAGAGTGCTGGGATTGACTGTGATTTTGACACCTTCAGGAGCATCAACCGTAGCAGTGTAAACAGAATCGCCCTCACCGACATTTGTAACTGTTCTTGTGTACTTTTGAACTGATGGCCCAAACAGAATCGAGAATGAAGGATAGTTCAATTGTGCTTCAGGCATGCTGGATTTTTCCGAACAAGTCACCTTGCGGTTCACAATCATACCAATCTCCGCGCTTGAGTAGTTCAAACCGCAAAGATAAGGGATGTAATCTCTTGGCTCAATGTCATAAATCAGGCCTGGATTGTTTGCTTTGGAAGGGTTGACATGGCCTGCCCCGATAGCAAAAACATCAGCTGGAAGTTGCCTTTCATCCTCGATGGGGTTCTTCCCGGTGTTCACGAGATCAGCTGTGGTCATTATCGCAGACTTAATGGCGGCCGGAGACCAATCAGGATGTGCACTTTTGAGTAATGCAGCAACACCGCTGAGATGAGGACACGACATTGAAGTCCCTGAGATTACATTGAAATTAGATTTTGTATTGGTGACATTTTCCACGGATTTAGACCAGGCCGCCAGAATGTTTACGCCGGGACCAATAATATCTGGCTTCAAAATTCCAGGGCTGGCTTGGCTTGGACCCCTGGAAGAAAATGAAGCAACTTGAGGAGCATGTTCATCTCCAATTACTGTTCCTTTGAATGAAATGGCAGCCGTGGAAGAATTTGTTGAGTTAACATACGCGGTTAGTTTCTGTCGATCCGCATAAGTAAGATGAGTAGCAGGAAGAACATGAGCATCTGCGCGGGTACTATAACCATATTCCTCAGAGTTAACAATAATCATGCCAACTCCACCAGCATCCTTGACATTGTTTCCTTTATCCGTATTTGATATTTCACCAACTTCACAAACGACTATCTTGCCTTTAACTTCTTTAGCGTTCGCTGAAATCTCAGAGCAATATCGATCCACTTCTGATTCATCCTGGTTCACTCCAGGGAAATAAATGGGATGCTGCCTTGCTGGAAAATCTTTAGGTTGATAAAGGGATTCCCCATCGAGTTGCACTTTGTTGCCAAGCACAGCAGTTGACCTGATTTTCCTGTCAATGGTGCTTGCACCAACTGTGAGAATCCATGGTGCCTCGTTTGATAGTGAACCATCCGAAGGACCACTATTCCCAGCCGCGCAACTCACAAAAATGCCTTTTTCCATCGCGCTATAAGCGCCAATGGCGATGTTATCAGCAAAGAATTGCAGTGAATGTCCACCAAGTGAGAGCGAAAGAATGTCAACACCATCCCCAATAGCTGTATCCATGGCAGCCAATATAGCACTTTCAGAACAACCAGGGGAACAAACTCTGTACATGGCCAAATGAGCCAGAGGAGCAATACCAACAGCCGTGCCATTAGCATTACCGAACACATTAGCACTTTTAACATAGTTCCCTGCAGCAGTGCTTGCAGTATGAGTGCCATGGCCGTTAGTATCAATCGGCGTACCATCTCCGACTTCATCATCAGAGTCTTCATAATATCTTGCACCAATCAACTTGTTGTTGCATAATGAGGCACTGAACTCACATTTCCCTTTCCATTTGGCTGGTGGAGGAGGCATTCCATCATCATTAAATGAAGGATGATCCGGTGTAATCCCGGTGTCCAACATTCCAATGATCACACCTTTGCCAAAATTTGAATCTTTCCAAAATCCCATATTTTGGTACAATCCCAAAAAATTGGGAGTATGGGTAGTTTGCAGAGATAGTATCTTCTGAGGTGTGGCAGATATGAAACCTGGTTTTTTCTCCATGGCATTCACATCCTCTGCTGATAACTTAGCTGCAAAACCTGTGAAAACATTCTGATATGGATAAACAATGCGAGGTTCTGCTTCAGTACTGCCCTCCATTGTTGCCCTTTTAGGCAAAAATGATTGATACCAACTGACAAGATCTTCATTGGAAACAGAACTAGTGGTGGAAAGTTCAGTGTTACCATTACCATCAGATTGATCAGGTAACTCAACATGAACAATATAAGTTTCTAAAGCAGCAGAAATTACAATAAATTGAACACTGATCAGCACACATATCAAGGTAATCATGTGCATGATCGAACCCATGTTTGAATTATGAAACCTTGGACTTCCCAAGGTCAAGTTTTTTTTTTTTTGGTTGAAGCAAAAGAATGAATATACAATTGGGTTTAAGTAGGAAATGATGAGTTGGTTATGCACTAAAACGAAGATGATTTGGTGTTGCGGTTGTGGGTTTAAAAAGGGTATTTATAGGCCAAGCATGCCATGATAACATAATAAAAGTGGTAGGCAATTTAGCATTATTGGAGTCTCCACTATCTTATCATTTCAAAAGACTTTGCCATATTAGTTTTCTTCTAAGAATATATATGACAGTGATGCCAAGTCTGTTATGGGTCAAAATATAATCATCTACTTAAAACAAAATGGAGCACTAACATCTGCAAGGCTGTTTAAACGTTTGTACCTACAAATGCAATAATTTATGGCTTAAACAAAGTAATCATTTGACTAAAGTTGGGCAGTAGTAGGAAGGTTGGATTTCTAGGTTTCTATAAAAATGCGCGGATCTGTAGTTGAGCATTTTTTGCTAATGGAGTGTGCTAACAGCACTCGTGCTGCAACCTTATCCCATGCATTTTGTTTTGCTAAATGGATATTGGGAAATAAGAGCAATAAGCTTAATTAAATTCGTTATCATGAGACACATTAAGTCAGCATCTTGGACCAAATTCCCCATCCAACTGAGAATCACATGTAAAACAAAATACCGTCCACACTTAGTTTTTCTTTGTTCCTTTTTTTTTATTCGAAGGTATATAATATACTGTATGTATCCCAAATGCATTATAAGTAGTGGATTCAAATTAGTTCCTAGATACTAAGTTAATTGGATAACTTAATGTTGGATCTTCTAAATACTCCTTCCTTCCGGTCCTTAATCTAAGACATTTTGATTTATCTAATGTTTCACCCAGTACGTATTTTAAATTAACAAAAAAAAACATTAAATATATTTCATAACAATCAAGAGAACACAAAGAATTTGAAAATATATTTTTAAGATTTTCTTGTTAATTAAAAATGTGTATTAGGTGAAACTTAAGACAAATCAAAATGTCTTATATTAAAGACGGGAGGGAGTATTATGTTTAAAGAGTTCTCTTCAGCACGGTAGTTACATTTTAATAAAACCCATAACATAATCGCATCAATATATTTCATAACCTTATAATGTGGAAGAAAGTATGACGCATGGTACAATTAATGTAGAGGATGATTGTTTATAGTCTCCCTCATAAAATTCGGAGCAATAAGTTTTGTTTCAAAATAGTAAGCATAAATAATTGAAAGGCGGATCAAATTATTGTGAATTAGTAGGCAATTTATCCAGTATATCCGGTGCACCATACTTTCCTTCCTATTTTTACATTACTAGTTCTTATTACATTTTTTTCTAATTTTCTAAATAACATTCTATAATTTACAGATTTAGTCTCTTTGATTTTTTTTCTCTCCCCTTTAAAAAACATCTCTAATCTTTAAACGACCATATCTCATGATCCGTGAAGAATTAGAAAGCGTGTTATACATGAAAATTATAGTACTCGTCGAGATCTATCCAACAAGATCTATGTCGAATATTTTTTTCGAGTTTAAAAATAACTAAATTTTGATGGGCAGAATAAGATGGATATCTAGTTTAGGAAGATGGATAACCAGTTTAGTTTAGATTAAGATTCTTGTATTACATATATCTCTTGATCCGTAAATAATTAGAATACGAATTATACATGAAATTTATAGTGCTCAACGAAATCTATCCGATAAGATCCACGTTGAATATTTTTTTGAACTTTAAATGCATTTAAATTTTACGGACAGAAATGAAGAAATGTGTTTTTCGTTTTTCTTTGAAAAATGGTTATCCGTTGTGTTCCTACGGATTATCCAACCAGTTTGGACTGATTATCCATTCTGTTTGTACTTGTTATCCAATTACATTTTTGACATTCACTTTTCAAAAAAAGAAAAGAAAGAAAGAAAAAATGATTGGATAAGCATTGCAAACAATTTGGATAATCAATAGAAAATAATTGGATAATCAGTGCAACACGTTGGATAATCAGTACAAAAAAGTTTGACAATCATTTTCATAAAAGAGTAAGGAAAAAAATACTGGATAACCACCACAAAGAAGTTGGATAATCAATGTTAACAAATTGGATATCCAGTTTAAGAAGATGGATAACCAACTTATTTTGAATTAAGAAGTTGGATAATCAATATGAAGTGGATGGATATCCAGTACAAGCGAGTTGGATATCCAGCATAAATAAGTTGGATATGCATAAAAACCCGTTGGATTACAACTACAAAATAAGTTGGATAAGTATATAAACCAAATGGATGGATATCCAGTACAAGCGAGTTGGATATCCATTTCAAACAAGTGGGATATCCATTACAAACAAGTTGGATAGATATACAAACCAAATTGATAAGCAGTACAAACAAAATGGATAACCAGTTCAAACTAATTGGATAATCAGCATGAACACAATGGATAACCAATTTAGAACAAGTTGGTATCCATCTTGTAAAACTGGATATCCACCTTTATTCTGTCCATCAGAATTAAGTCATTTTTAAGCCTGGAAAAATACTCACTATGGATCTTGTTGGATAGATTTTGACGAGTACTATAAATTTCATATATAATTCGTTCACAAATTCTTCATGGATTGGGAGATATGCCCGTTGAAAGATTAGAGATTTTTTTTGGAAGAGAGAGAAAAAATGATAGGGACTAAACTTGTAAAATATAGAAAGATTGATAAAAAAAGTACAATGAAGACTAAAAATGTAAAAAATAGGAAGGGATATATGGTGCCCCGGGTATACAGGATACTCAATTACTAGATGTTATTCTATAGAGATGGCGCTTGTGACAAAATATTTAATGAGTATAATGTTACTCTCTCGATAGAGTTTCTCGGACCACTTATTTAACAGTACTTAGTTTTGTGGGGATTGGGGTTTCTTTTGACATACAGCCGCCCAATTATCTTGTTTTCCAAGAAATACACTGAGCAATGGAATAGAGTGTTTTCAATTGCACCACCCAAATTAGTGCTACTGATCACTCACTTGAGCAACGAATGGTTGCAAGCACCATAAGCAGAGAATGTTGACCGCAAAGCCGCCCACCATCTTTGCTCCAAAACTCAGGCCATCATGGAATGCATACATCATTGATATATATATGACGGTCCAATCCTAATCTGTATTTCAGCTAAGTTTTTCAAAGAAGAATACAAATTGTTCAATTTTACTAGATGTTAATGTATCCTAGAAGTCTTCGTTGTTGCCTGAATAGGATGAACTTTTTTCCTAATAAGAATGAACCATGACATAATTTTAATCGCGGATATGCCACATTCAGATCTATAGACTAATCCCAGAATCCCCAAAGATCAAGTCACGCGTATAACCTTTTTCATTTAGAGCAACTCTAATGGAACCATTTATCGGAGCTACTTGTCACTAGTTTATGAAACTAGACCATAGGAGTCCGTTGATGATAAAATTCGAATTTACAATTATACAAACAAAAGAATAGAAGGGAGTGGTGGGTCGGTGTTTTTAAGACAAAAGAAAAGAATGATAAAATATATTGAACTTCAATATTTTTTTAACTAGTGGGATCATTTTGTAAGTTTATAACAAGTTTACCATTATAGTTGTCCACTTGTCCCTATTAGGAAAATAAAATTTGAAAAAAGCCTAAATTTATGAGAATCATTCTTAACATCATCAACTTAATCTCTCCCATTTTTTTCAGCTGGTAAGTACATAGGCCAAACTGTTTTGTCTTCATCAATATTATAAATTATGATCGATTCATTCAACTTTGTTCTTCGTACTATATATGATCAAAGATAAGAGAACAGTTTAACAAAATTATTTTCCCGCGATAGTTTGTGTTTTTTGCTTGATCTGAACTCGAATATTTAACTTTAACCAAGAAATTTCCTTTTCTTTTCTTTTCTTTTTCAAAAAAAAAAAAAAAAAAACAATTGTGGTTTGACTTGAAGGAAAACAGAAGTCGGACTAACTTAAATCAGTATAAAGATGATAAGCAAAAATGATCTCCGAAGATCTATAGTTGCAAAGCATAATTCTAATATACGATGGTAGTGTTTTGAAATTATTAAAAATGATCTGGTAGCTATTACGATAATGAAACAATTTATACATCTTGTAGAAAGTCTGCCGTCAACATTCTAAATATCTCAGTATATTATAAGACATACATGGATATGTAATCGAATACATTATTCTCCTTTGAACAGAGTGTTCCCGTAAACGCATCCCTGATGACTGAAAAACAAATATCTCTGGCTCTGTGGGTTCCAAAATTGCAGCTATGCACTAAACAAAAATAGCATTATCAAAAACACATAAATTAATATTTCCGTCCTTAAAAAACGAGTACACTGGATAAAATTCACGGTTTAATATTCGGATGGAGGGGATACTAGCTAGTCCCTAAATAACCTTACTTTATGTCCCCGTCACCCTAGAAACACTTCCAAAAATTGCTGCAATCGGGCTACGAACAATGTACTTGGAAGAAATCCAAGCCACAGATCCTTGTGACATGCGGGTGTTTGTAGATGTTGATGATAATTTGGTAAAAGTGATTTCATATGTTAACTTCTGATTGATCTTTGAAAATTTCAGAGTATTTGGATTCACTGTGATTTTGACACCTTCTAGAGCATCAACCTTAGCAGTGTAAACTGAATTAGCCTCACCAACATTTGTAAGTGTCCTGGTGTATTTTTGAACTGATGATCCGAAGAGAATCGCAAATGAAGGATAGTTCAATTGCGATTCAGTGATGCTGTATTTTTTAGAGCATTTCACCTTGCGACCCACAATCACACCAATGTCCTTGTTCGAGTAATTCAAACCGCAAAGATAAGGGATGTAATCTTTTGGCGAAATGTCATAAATCAGGCCTGGTTTGTTTGCTCTAGAAGGGTTGACATGGCCTGACCCGATCGCGAAAACATCAGCTGGAAGTTGCCTTTCATCCTCGATGGGATTCTTCGCGATGTTCACCAGATCAGCCGTGGTCATTATCGCGGACTTAATGGCAGCCGGAGACCAATCAGGATGTGCACTTTTGAGCAATGCAGCTACACCGCTCAGATGAGGACAAGACATCGAAGTCCCTGAGATTACATTGAAAGTGGATTTGGTATTGGTTATATTTTCCACGGATTTGTACCAGGCAGCCAGAATGTTTACTCCGGGACCAATTATATCTGGCTTCAAAATTCCAGGGCTGGCTTGGCTTGGACCCCTGGAAGAAAAATAAGCAACTTGAGGAGCGTGTTCATCTCCAATTATCGTACCTTTGAATGAAATTGCAGCCATTGGTGAACTTGTCGAGTTGACATACGCGATTAATTTTTTGCGATCAGCGTAAGTTATATGAACTGTTGGAAGAACATGAGTTTCTGCACGCGTACTATAACCATATTCCTCAGAGTTAAAGATAATCATTCCTACTCCACCGGCAGCTTTAACATTGCTTCCTTTCTCTGTGTTTCTTATGACACCAACTTCGCACACCACTATTTTGCCCTTAACTTCAGTAACATTTGTTGAAAACTCGGAGCAAAATCGATCCACATCAGATTCGTCCTGGTTCACTCCAGGGAAATAAATCGGATATTGTATTGATGGAAAATCCTTAGGTTGATAAAGGGATTCGCCATCGAGTTGTACGTTGTTGCCTAATACAGCAGTCGACCCGATTTTCCTGTCGATAGTGCTTGCACCAACAGTGAGAATCCATGGTGCCTCATTTGTTGTTGAACCATCCATTGGACCCCTGTTTCCTGCAGAGCAACTCACCAAAATGCCTCTTTCCATTGCCCGAAATGCGCCAATTGCGATGCTATCAACAGAAAATGCTTTTGACCTCCCACCAAGTGAAAGTGAAAGAATGTCAACGCCATCATCAATAGCAACATCCATGGCCGCCAATATTGCGCTTTCGGAACAGCCATAACCGCCACACACTCTGTAAATTGCCAAGTGAGCCAGAGGAGCAACGCCGACAGCCGTGCCGTTAGCATTATCGAACACATTTGCGCCTGCAACATAGTTTCCAGCAGCAGTGCTCGCTGTATGAGTGCCGTGGCCGTTAGTATCGATCGGCGCACCATCTCCAGTTTCGCCGTCTGTGACTTGAAAAAATCTTGCCCCTATCAACTTGTTGTTGCACACTGAGGTATCAAATTCACATTTTCCCTTCCATTTAGCAGGTGGAGGAGGCATTCCATCATCACTAAATGAAGGATGGTCCGGCATAATCCCGGTATCCAACATTCCAATGATCACACCTTTGCCAAAATTTGAATCTTTCCAGAATCCCGTATTCTGGTACAACCCCAAGAAATTAGGAGTATGGGTTGTATGAAGAGGTAGTATTTTTTGAGGTGTTGCAGATATGAAGCCTGCCTTTTTCTCCATGGATTTCACATCCTCTGCTGATAACTTAGCTGCAAAACCTGTGAGAATGTTATGATAGGAATAAATCAAACGAGGTGCTTCTTTAGTACTGCTTGAGCTGGCCTCCATTATTGGCCTTTTCGGCATGAATGACAGATACCAACTGTCAAGATCTTCATTGGAAACAGAGCTTGTGGTGGAAAACTGTGTACTGCCATCAAATTGATTAGGTGACTCAACGTGAATAATATAAGTCTTCAAAGAAGCAGAAGTTGCCAAAAACTGAACACTGATCAGCACACACATCAAGCTGATTATGTGCACCATCAATCCCATGTCAGAAGTGTTTATCATCAACATGATTATACAATTTCGTTTTGTGGGAAGTGATGAGTTTGCTATGAACTGAGAGCTCAAATGACTTGGTATTTCTGATTGTGGGTCTAGAAATGGTTTGGTTTAAAGGGTAATTGTAGGCATATCGTGATAATATAATGTGAAGTGGTACGCAATTTAACATTATTGGAGTCTCCACCATCGTACTATCATCATTTCAAACATTTTGCCTTATTTTCTGTGGTATATGACAATGATGCCAAAGTATTTTAAGGGTCAAAATGTTAATCATTTACTTATACAAAATGGGCACTATCAGCATCTACAAGTTTATTGAAACTTCATCATCCGTACATTAATTCATCTGTGAAACAAGTAATCATTTTCTTACTTTTTGGGTTTAGGTCCTAGAGACAAACAATCTGCGACCTACGGCCAGTCGTAAAACTAAAACCTCTATTCGTAGCCAAATTGAATACTATTTTCACGTCCTGAATATTGTGCAGTTTGAATTTTCATTTCAGGTTCAAATTGTACTAAAAGTGAGCATTCAAACTGGACCATCATTTTGGCACAGAAAGAGCCGTAATGTTTAGTTTCCCATAAAACATCAACAGATCTGTTGATGAAGATTTGCTAAATGAACTTTTCTTTCATCTTGTTTCCTTCTTTTTTTTTTCAGAAACTCTTGCGAAGAAGAACACCGATTCAGGGTACTTTTTGCGTTCTCAGCTTTTTCTTTCCCCCTGATTTGTTTATAATTTTCTTTTTTTTGTTTCATTCAAGATTCCTCCTCAAACTTAATCGTCACCTGAGATTAAGTCAGGTGCTAGGAGCCGGAGCCGGTTTTAATTGTTGCCGACAGCTACTTATGTCTTCGAGAAATAACTAATTGATTAATCATCGTCGCCGTTCTTGCTTTAGTGTTGTTTTGTCAATCAGGACATATCTCTATACACATTTGTGGTGTTCCAGCAATGAAAGCAAAGCTGGGTTTAAGCTTTCTTGCTGATGATTGATTGGCTTGAATCTTGAATTTAGTAAATTTTTTTTATTTTTTATTTTTTTTTTGTGTGTCTCATATGTTGGTCATTGCTGCCTCTTAATGTTTCATAGTATTGCAAAAGTCTTTTTGATATATCTTTGTGGTGATATCATTGGTGAAGCAAAAATCTTGTGCGAGGTTTAGTTTGGTGGTTACATACGTTAAGGTGTGTAATGCACACCCTTTCAGTATGCCTCTACTGCATGATTACTGAAGATAGTCTTTATTAGTTTGAACTTTGAATTTGGCAACCACTGTGATAGGGTGTCAAGCCAACAAACAATTTAACCTATTTCCAAACTAATGTAATACAGGAAAGTAAGGTTGTCTCCTCAGGGAATGGTGAATTTCTCTCTTTTAAATCAAGTAACCAAAAGGGAGGGTTTTGAGTTGTTGAAATAAATTGCAAACAATACAAATTGCAAACAATAGCTAAAATGATTCAAACAAATAATGAGAAAATATCTAGCTGAAGGGTTTGTATATCCACCTTGTTTAAACAATTGATCACAGATGCAATGATATTATCATTAACTTATGAGTAGATTAGTTTTCATTATTGGAATCTCCAAACAATTCAATCTTTCATTTAGTTCAATGATTAAGAAACCTTCATTAATCATATATTAGTCGAAAACTAATCTTGGAACCTCCAAAGATTTAGAAAACTACTACATTAAACACATAGACCCAATCCCAATTCCTATAAAACAAACCTTGTTTTATATTAAACCAGATTACTTGTTCTTATAACATAAATAATTACTTACCAAGTAATTAAATTATATTATACCCTATTTAAACAACAAACCTTGTTGTTTTATTGGTTTTAGATTATTAAGAAGCACCGAATGCTACCAGCTATTCATGAATCCACAATAATCATATCAATCATGCCATAGAACAAGCAATTACTCACAAGAAATTCAGAGAGAAACAACATTTAAATCTCACAACTATTCAAACCAAGACTTCAATACCCTTCAACCAGATGAATGAATTTAGCTACTCATCATGAAAATTGAATCACAAGAAAAATTCATTGAATAATATAACCGATTGATGTCTATGAACTTGGAAGACTCCAAAAATGAAGAAAGTGCCTTTGAAAGCTCCTTAAAAGTGGAAAACTACGTCTATTTTTATTCTACTACCTACCACTCTTTCAAAATGAAAAGAAAAGTCTATTTAACTTTTCCGAGATTTTCATATTGGTCCCTCAAATTTGGCAAAATTATATTTTGACCCCAAAACTTTTTCAATTTTTCATTTTAGTCCCTTTTCGGTTTGGCCAAACGGGAATGCAGCTTCAATGCTGGAATTTCTTCTCTAAAGCTCAATTTTGGACTGAGATTTGTGTGCCCACATGAGAATGTGATATCATTGCTCCTTCTTGTGCTTCCTTGTCAAAATGCTCCAAAAATGTGTGTTTATGAAACATTTTGCTTCATCTCATCTCTAAGGACTCCTAGGAACCAAAAACATCAAAATACATAATATAAGTGCACAATTTAATCCAAAATACTATACAAATACCCATAAATAATATGAAACTTCAAGACCTATCACACTGTAAAAGGCGCGTTTTGATCCAGAAACAGGAGTCGGGGAATTCATGGAAGTATACTTTCCACGCTCAATGAACGACTCTGAACACACAATAAAACAGGGAACACATTGTATTTCTGGCGAAATAGGATGTTTTTAATCCTCAAAGGCTGAAACAATAGCATGTTGTCAAAAGGCATACAGGCCCGACACAGTTCGAAAATGTTCTGCGGATCTATGTTCACAAAAATAAAACCGGGAATGTCAAAATCTCAATATCAGATGCAGGGTAGTGGTATGCCCATTTGGTGTTTTGCCATTCCAGATTCATCATCTGATCAGCCAGTCCTCTTTATGGTGTGAACTCCAGATTCTTAATTTATAGTATCTCTTAAAATTCGTGGATCAAAGATTTTGTTTCAATGGCTCCTTAAAACAGAGTGTGTAGTTAAGAAAGCCTGAACGACATTGTCAAGCACAATGAATTGATTTTACTCCAAAGAGAAGTGGGAATATGGGATCACAATTATTCAATTACTTAAAACAATTTACTTCGGTCCCATAAAATTAAAACGGTCGACTTTGTTTAACCGTGACAAGATAGATTGTTCAGTTTGATGTTGTAGACAAGTTTCTTTTTTCGGCCCCATAATATCATTGTAGCCCTTCTAACAGTGTACTTTGAAGAAATCCAGATGAGAGATCCTTGTGAAAGGAATGCAACGTTATCAGGAACCGTAGACAATTTGCCAAACGTGATTTCATAGGTCAACTTCTGATTGATCTTTGAAAATCTCATAGTAGTTGGATTCACTGTGATGTTAACACCTGCAGGCGGATCAAACTTAGCTGTATACACAGAGTTAGCCTCACCAACGTTAGTAACTGGCCTCGTATACCTCTGAATTGTTGATCCAAAGAGAATCGAAAACGACGGATAGTTCAATTTTGATTCTGGGATGCTGGATGTTTCGGAACAATTCACCCTGTTATGCACAATCATACTAATCTGCCTGTTTGTGTAATTTAAACCGCAAAGATAAGGGATGTCATCTCTTGGCTTAATATCATAAATCAGTGACAAGCCGTCGTCCCAACTAGTTAAATAAATTCACCTACTTAACACTAGTATAGCGGAAAATAGGGTCGTATACACAGAGAATGAATACTAATTACCAAGTATAAATTACTCATATTATTATCTAGATAAATGATGATTTCAAATTTTTGGATTAAATAAAACTAAACCTAAAAAATCTAAAATTGCAATTACTTTCAAAGGTGAAACAAGCAAGTTGGGAAAACCTAAAATATTGGGTTCACCTACCGAATATTTTGGTTTGGTTCAATTCATAAGTATTTGACTTTTAACTTCCATTAATCTCACAACGATTCACCTAATTAAGAACTATACACTCTCGTGTTATATTTCTCTTACTTAGATTAACCTTATGACTACTCTCGTGACTATAGGGATTATATAAAAGCACATTAAGAAAATTAAGAATCAAACATTGCAAAGGTTATAATCTTAGGCTGTGTTTGATAACCCAAATAAGCACTGAAACTTAAGGGATTAAACAAAAGCACATTAAGACTATTAAGAATCAAACATTGCAAAGGTTATAATCTTAGGCTGTGTTTGATAACCCAAATAAGCACTGAAACTTAATGGATTAAGTACTTTTCTAATTTTTATTATTTGATAATAGAAAATTTTAAAATCTTATTTAATTCAGTGGCACTTAATTCAATTCCTTTCCTAAAATTAAGTGATTTGATTATTACTTAACACTTTTCTCTAAACACGCTCAGACGTTAGGATTTTTAGCAGATTTTTTTTATGGCTGCCGTACCCTTGATTATCACATCTTTTTTCTGCCTCTCTCTCCATCTCCTTATCAAAATTTTCTGATCACCTCCAAAGATCTCCCGTATCAAATCTAAACAATCTCTAATAAAAAATGATTCTTCCGTTATAATCGCTCCATAATATTCTTATAAATAGGTCACAAGCTACTTTGGAGAAAAAAAATTTAAAAAACGAAAGAAACTATCTGCCAAAAAGGTATCTTTCGGCTTTGTTTAGTTTAATTTCTGATTTTATGTTTTTTACAGAGGTGTTTCGGAGCATGGGGTTACTAACGATTTGATTATGCTTTTCTTTACCCCTTGTTATTTGTTTGTCCTTTGATTAAGCTTTATTTTTGTATGTTTTTTGGTTCTAGACGTTGTGAGTTGAGTGCTAGCGGGAGTGAAACAACGGCACTATAATTTGCATTGCCTTCATATTTGCGGCATTTTGATTATCTGCTATCCGAAGAAGTTGAGCCCATCAAACGGACGGAGAGAAAGCTAATTGCAGCGTTCTGATCATCTGATATCCAAAGAAGTTGATCCCATCAAATGTAAAGTTCTCTTTTAACTCCATAATTCATTACTTTCATTAAGAATTTGATTATTGTAGCAATTTAAGTTAAGTGAGTGGCTTCATCCGTTGTTTTTTTTTCTCCTTCTATGTGGATTGAGTTTATTTGGAATTTTACCGTCTCCGAGCTTTACCACTTGGTAT